AAAATGAAGTAACCCAAGGCCTTGGTGGCGGGGACGTGCCTGTACTGCCTGCTCTGGAGCCAGGTCCGCGTCAGTGCTTCCCTGAGAAATAAAATAAGCAGAGATTCTTTCCCTTACAGCATCCTGATTAATCACATGAGCTAGACGCCACTTCACAGGTGGAGAGCTGAGGCCTGAGAGGCTGGTGGCCCTCTGCAGTCACACAGCTTGTCAGGATGAAGTCCGGTTGTAACCCACCCCACCAAGAAGGGCGCCTATGCCCTGCTGAGCCCCCGGTGGGTGCCAGGCCCTGTGCGTGGCCCTCTGAACCACACGTGCCAGTCAGTGTCACAGCAGCCTCACTCCCGGTGGCACTGGCTCCTCCATTTCACAGAGACTGGAGCTACAGTGGAGAGAAGCAGGTCACTTGGCAATGGCCAAGATCGCAGGCCAAGGCCACCAGACTTGGCAGCTCTCTGGTCTGCCTCCTGATACCATCAGCCCCTGGCCCTGGGGTCAAGGGTTTGATGGCCTGGTGCCGGCTGTTCTGTGCCCGGCTCAGAGCAGCTTTCCATGTACAACGGGACTCTCAGGGACACGGTGATGTAAGGCTACGGCCCAGGCCTGGAGGCCACTCCTCATGAGCCCTGCCACCGTACAGGGAACAGGACAGGATGGATCCAATCTTGGCACAGGTCTAAGGTCCTCCCAGTAAGAATCAGCTCCAGGCCAGTGGGAGGCCAGCGCCCTTGACCACAAAGCAAAAGGAGTGGTTCTGGGCCTAATTGCCCATCTTTCTTCCTCCCCCCCTCGATGCTATCTGCCCCCCAGAGCACCAGCCCCACTCCATTCTGGAATGAAGGTATGTTCTTGGCAAAATTATTTCACATTTCTGAGCCTCAGTTTCCCCATCTGTAAAATGGGAACGATAATCCCTAAGTTCCAGAATGTTAATGAGAATTAAAGAGGCAGTAGATATAAACAGCCTAAAACATAACAGACACTCAAAAACTGCCAGTGTCCTTCCCACTCTCCTTCAGCCCTCAGTGTTCTGTGCTCCCTTCAACACAGTGACAAGGGAGCTATGTCTGTCCCTTATACCTGAGGAGAGGGCATGGGACAGGGGAAAGGGCACAGGACCAGGAATCAGGCCAACTATGAGCCTATCTTGAGGACCTCTCTGAACCTCAGTTTTTTCATCTATCAAATGAGGTGAACGATACCTCCCCAGCTTCCACCCTACAGGATAAAATGGGATGACAGTTCAAAAGCGTTCTGTGAACTGTACAGTCCTGTATGGGGATTAACGTGAGGAATGAGAGTACTACCACCGCAAAGAGCAACCACCACATGCAGACTGAGGAGAGCTCTTTACTCATATTTTCCCATTAAATTTTATAACCTGGAGGAGCGCAGTTGCCAGTGTGTCAATGAAAAATCAGGCTCCGGGACTGGCCCAGACCCCGCAGTGAGAGTCGGCACTGAACCCAGCCCACCTCGATACGTGTCTGGACCACCCACTGCTTCGTTATGGTCCTGCCAAGGCCCCGGCTGTGTCACTGGGCTCTGGGGAAGGGACTGTCCTGAGTTGTAGCCTTGAAACCACAGACATATTTGCCACTTGAGCTTCCAGTTCTGAAACAAAAGGCGGCATCCCCTTTGGAAGACACCTTTGGTGGCCTCAGATGGCCCGGGGCCATCTCAGGCTGGGACTTGGCCATCTTGGCCTGCAGGTTCCTTCACTCCACGTTCAAGTACCACCCTGCTCCATCCCTGGGGGGCCAGCAGGAGGCTGTCGCTGCACTGGGTGCTGAGGGGCATCCCACCCAGGAAATGCCCGGGTCAAGGAGAAAGGACAGGCAGGTTTTACCTGGTGGCAGCTGTGCCCCAGCACGAGGCACGAGTGAGTCAAGGACTCCTTCACCTGTGTACATGTTCCCACCTTCACCAAGAGCCCCAGCTGCCTTGATTTCATAATTGTCAAATTAGAATCATTTCCTGTCTTGTAAGGAGATGACTGTCCTTTTGAGAAGACTTGTCCCCTCTCAGGTAGCTTCTTCATTTTACCTACCTTGGGTGTCTTGAGTGGTTTTCAAAAAGTTAATGAGTATTTGTCAAAGCCAATGTCTGTCCAGCATGGCTGCATGGATTGTTTTTTTCATAATCTGGCCCTTCCCAGCATTTAGGGTCCCAGGACAGGGGATAGCAGGGGGCAGCAATAAAAGGTCCCTACTGCCAAGGGGTTTGAGTCAGGACTGGGGTGCAGCCTGGCGCTGCAACTCCCTCTGGGTTCCATGGGGCTGATGGGAATTCAACAACATGAACCAGAAATCCAGCTGCACACAAGGCAGGCGGGGAATTGGAATCTGAGGATGAAACCATCAACCCCAAAGTCAAAAGTACTTTGGAGAGTCTGTGAGGCCACGGAAGACCCTGCCTACATGGACAACTTAACTCTCCGATAAGCTGTTAGAACTTCCGTTGGGCCTTAAAGTCTGATGTGGTATGTCCAGCCTTGACTCCATTTGCTCACAGCTTTCAAAACTCAGTCAATGCTAGCCAAGGACGATGCTGCATCCTGAAGCCACAAAATAAAATGACCACAGCTATCAGCTCCTGTGTGCCTGGTATATGTCACAGACGAGCTGACGCATCACAGTGTGTTCTGTAGTGCTCAAAGCCCTGCATGATTGTAATCTCAACTACTTTGGAGGCTGAGGCAGGAGGATTGCAAATTTGAAGCCACCCTGGCCAATTTTGCAAGTACCCTGTTTCAAAACTTTGACAAAGCACCTGCCTAACAAATGCAAGGCCCTGAGTTTGATTCCCAGCACCTCAAACAAAACAACTCTACAGTTTGGATGTTATTAATGCTGTTACACAAAGAAACTGAGACTAGAGACGAATAACTCACACAGCAGGGCCCCACAGCGAGTGACAGGGCAAAGCCCCTCCTGTGACCAGGCCTGGCTGGCAGGTGCAGTAGGTGGCGTCCCCTGCAGCCCATTCCTTAGTGTCCCCATTGGTGCTTACCCAGCAGGTACTTGATGATGGCTTGACTGTGTTCCCAGAGGTTGCTGAAGGTCCCCCAGTGTGAGTGGCCATCAGGCACGGTGTTGGCCTTGATCCAGCCCCCACAGAAATAGATGAAGAAGTCCTGGCAGGGGTCCACCGTGGGGTCCATGGAGTTCAAGATGGAGCTGGTCACTGAGACGCAGGCCTCGCTCAGGCACACTGGGGGTGTTCCTGGAGGGGTAAGGGGAAAAAGTCAGTGATGGGCAGGGAGGAGGGTTGGGGAGCCTAGGGCCCCAGCACACAAGCTCCACCCTTGCCCTGACTGAACAGACTAGGAACTGGATGGTCACTAGACCCCGAACAAGAAAGGGTTCAGCAGCTTCATTATCTTCTGGTTTGTGAAATAAGACTTCTGCCCATTGCCTAAAGTCCCTTCTGTGGCTTAAAAGAACCCAGAGCCCAGGTGCTTTTTTCTCTTTCTAGGGATTGAATCCAGGGTCTCTTCACCACTTTGAGACAGTTTTGCTAAACTGAGGGTGACTTCAAATGTCCTATTCTTTTACCTCAGCCTCCGACGTAATCTGGGATTACAGGAGGGCACCAGCACACCCAGGGGTGCTTTTCCCTTAATCAACCCTTCCTCCACAAAGATTCTCTAACTTCTTATTATTCCCTGATGCTTAACACACTTATCCACTCATTCACGCACTCAGCTACTCCACAAAATCAATACTGAGGCCCTTTGCTGAGTACAGAGTGTGTGCGAGGCGGAGAGACAGGAGGTAGTCCTTCCCTTTTCTGTTGGGGACACACATGTTACATAAGCAAAGTCAAAACACACCAGGAGAAACTGCCACTTATTTACAAAACTAAACTGAACATTGACTAGGAGCCAACTGGGTGATGTGGATATATGGTACCAGGACTCAGGGACAGGGAAAGGACTGGGAGAAGCCATTCCCTCACCAGGCAGGAGAGCTGCTTGTCCCAATTGAGGGGGGGGTTGGTGGCTGAACAACCCTAAACCAAAACAATAAATAAATAAACAGAAACAACCTGAGAGGCTGGTTTGCTAAAGGCGTGAGCAAGGGCTGGACCCTGCCTCAAGGCTGTCTGATGAGCTCTTGCAAAGGACCAATCTGGCAGGTACCCAGAGGCTCATGGCCTGCCCACAGGAGCCACCCAGGCCACAGGGGGGACTGCTTCCTGAACAGGCTGGGCACCAGGACCACCACCCACGTTCACGGTCTTTCAACCCTTGCTCAGCGTCAGATGCGGGTGGGATATCCCTGAGGAAACTGAGGCTCTGAGAGAGCGACCAGATCAAGGTCATCCAGCCTCACAGGAGAGCTGAGAGCAGATGCTGGCCTATTCTGGCCCAGCAGCCCCAAGGCCATGTTTTCCTGCTGTCTGTCTCCTCTTTGGTGGCCATAGCAGAGGCTGAAGTGGCCTGATTGGCAGGATTGGTTCCTTCAACACACAGGGAGGCAGTGAGGCTGGGTAGCTTTGGAGACTGGTAGATCTGGGTTCAAAACTGGTGCAGAGACCTCCTGTACAACCCTGGGTTGGGGGCGCAGCTTGGCAGTATGCATCTGCCACCGAAGGCCCTGGGTCAACCCCCAGCACTGCCAACGAAAACCAAAAACAAAACCTCTGAGCCTCAGTTTTTCCAGGGTCCATTTCACAGTGATGACAGGAAGACCTCACATGATCCCATCACACAGGGTACATCAGACAGGTCTGAGCTTCCAGGCTGATCTTTAGAGAGGAGGAAAGACTGCAGCCTTCAGCTCACTCAGAAACAATACCAGCAGGGCTGAGGGTCTTGAGCAGGTCCCCCGGGGGCTTATCCACCTCAGCTGACAAACCCCAAGTCCTTCAGGTGGATGAAGGGCTCAGAGGAGTCACACCACAGCAAGAAAATCAGGGTGACTTAATTTTGAGATTAGGCAGTAATTAAAAATTACTGAGCTACTGTGCGTGAACCCAGAGCTCTTCTACGGCAGGACCGAAGCTGCCATTTTCAATATTTCCAGATGAGCTCATCAGGAGTTTCAGAGTTGCATGTCCCAGTCCCCAGCCACAGTGACAACAGGATTATTTATGGGGGAAGGCAGAAGAGAACTTGTGTGCGGCTTGACAAGGCCTATTCACTATTATGATAAAACTTCATATTTGGGAAAGAAAAAGAATACCTATTGTTGTTACAACCAAACCACAGGAAGTAAAGCTTGGCACGATCCTGGCTGGTGGAAAGACCCAGAAGGCAGACTGCTGAGGGGCTCAGGGTTGAAGACAAAAGCAGAAACCAGCACCTAGAGTCGGACCTGCAGGTGGTATCCTCAGCGGGCGCCTCCTCTGCAGACACTGCCCTGGGTTCCTGGCTGGGCCCGGGCAGTGACCTTTAGGTTATCTAACTATTCTAGGGTTTGACGATCTTTAAACAAATAGTCTTGGCCAAGCAGGTCTTAATGTATATTTGGTTAGTTAATTAATGGTTTCCCACCCTGTTCATCCAAGGCTTCCGTTCCTTAGGGAAACCTTTCCAGACCCTCTTCCCCTCTGGATCCCTAACTGCCTGGGTGTTTGCCATCTCAGCGTGGGCTGCGCTGGGTCACGACCATATCTCCCTGTCCACCTCCTGCACTAGAAATGAGCTTGAGGGTGGGTTAGGTATCTCCCTTGCTCCTCTATGTCCCCTTCTTGTCACTGTGCTTGGCATCCGGCAGCTCTTCAATACACATATGTGGAATGAACAAGTGACTGAATGAAAGTGCCTTGCCCAGCGCCTGTCACCACCTGCAGCAGGGCTCATATTTCTTCCCTTTAGGATGTGTGGTCAGCTGAGAAGCAGGAACCAGACCCACGTTGAAAGCGTTCATCTGGATAGTGCTATCAAAGATGGTTTGAAATATTTCCTGGGAGAACATAATTGTTTGTTTGGTGGCTGCTGTTTGCAAAGCACCTGAGAGTTTCTGGGAGGGAGGGCCTAGCAGGAGGGTGGACAGGAATGCACTTCACTGGCCAGACATCTCACCGGTGGGTCTTGTAGAATCACCAGAGGATCTGCTTTGACTGGCCTGATGTTTGTGCATCCGTGGCCAATGTCAGCACCTACTGCTGTGTAACGAGGTTACTGTCAACATCCGAGGTGGCCACTGCTTTCTCAGGTGGCCCAGGGTCACTGATCCTCTGACCGGCTCATTCCTCTCCCGGGTCTAGGCCAGGGAAAATCTGTCTGAGGCCCTGAGAGCCAGGAACACAAGGCAGAAGCAGGATTCTTCAGTGTGGGCCCCACTTGGCAGAATTGTTTTGGGTTTGATCACTAGGAGCTGACCCTGGGGGTTCCCTTTTGGTTCCTGGTGAAGAAACTTTCTGTACAGAAACTCCTAAGGATGGTCGCAGGCAACACTGGCTGCTGAATCTGCCCCACTCCCCGTGTCCTGGGCCATGAGCTGAGCAACGGGGCTGGCCAGGCTCCACACTGACTGGCCAGTTGTTCTGGACTGACTTCGGTGAGGACAAGGTAAGGTGGCAGCTTCAGGGTGAGGAAGATCTGCATGTGCCCTGTTGACAGAGAGGTGCATGCACACACTCGCAACTCACACCTGCACAGTCAGGTACACACACTCAGCAGAGAAAGGCTTAATCCTCCTACTCTGTGGTTCACTCCAACTCCAAGTTCCTAGGCCAACATGATGAAGATTTGGGCCTACTTTTTCTTCCAGTAGGTGCAGGATCTCTAAGAAAATTTCTTCTATTTGATTTACTGTTTGCACAGTTAAGTTATGCAGGCACAATTCCAGGCACATATGGTTAGAAGTCTGGAGATTAGTAATTAATGAATCAAACAGGCATTAAGCACCTGTTGGGCCAGGCACATTTGGTAAAAAGCCAATAAACCATTAAATAGTTAAATAATCAAGTGATTATTTCTTAAGTATTACACAGGCCCTTAGCTCAGTGCCTGACACAGAGTAAGCACCTGTCACGTTTGTGGAATGAATGAATGATATGGGTCCCATACAAGAGGGATGCAGGGGTGACTCAGATGAAGTCTCTGCCCTCTCCTCAGGCCCCCAAGGGCCCTCCTCACCCCAGCCCAATACGGCTACCTTCACAGGTCAGCAACTTCACAGTGGCAAAGGCTCAATACAGCCATGAACTCTCTGATGGGGTGAGTGACCAAGTTGGTGGATGGAACCCCTGGGGCTGCTCACCAGGTGGGCCAGCAAAAAGCAGGATGTGGGGGTACAGGAGAGTGGGCCCTTGGCCTTGGTTGTAACCTGAATCCACCCTGTTGGGTTGTGTAAGGGCTGAGCAATGAGGCACTGACTGGATCTACGCAGCTGGACATGAGATCCAGCCTCGAACTCCTGACCGCAGGACCTGAGAGGCCCCATGGCATCACCATGTGGGATGGAACAGACATACCCACTTACAGAGCGGTGCAAAGGCCTTGGGTCACAGAGCTGAGCTCCTCTGGGGTCCTGGTGTGCTCCGGAGTGCATCCTGATTACAAAGCCGGTGGGCAGGACCTGGGCCCCAGAGCCCTCAGGAGCCAGCAGCCTGTGCACACTTCTCCACTCCACCTGACACTAGACCCCCACTGTCTGTGTAAGCTTGGCCAAGTTACTTGGTCTATGCCCATTTCCTCATACGGAAAAGGACCCAAAGCAACCACACCTTGCAGGGGTGCTCTGAGGGGGACAGGAGGTGACAGACTTAAATGACAGACGTTTGGCCCACAGGTGGTGTACAGTAAACAGAAGCCTTTGTTACTAGTCTGTTGGGACTGAGGATAGCAGGCAGTGGCAGCCTGTCTAACTGTCCCATGTCCTAACAACAGCAGTGCCCAGAACCAAGCTGAGAAAGTCCTCTCAGGCACCAGGTACTTCCTCAGAGCCATCTCCAAATTGGGCACTGCTTACCCATTTAAAGTAGAGAAGACGAAGGCTCTGGGAAGTGACGTGGCTTGTCCAACTGAGAACTTGCTGGTCCTTCTGGTTCCAAGACTTTCATACCATCCATGCCGCCCACCTCCCTGTGCTGAGATATGAGATACAGGACACATGAAGAGGTGTGATGGAGACTCAGACCCAACTGAAGTCCCACCTCTACACGTGAGGACATTGAGAGACACACATATATCTATGCACATACAGATACTTTTTGAAAATGATATGAATTAATACTTACATGAAAGTTTAGGAAAGATTTTAACCATCATGGAACTTATTTGGTTTGTATAGTTTTCATGGCAGGGGGTAGGAACCATCCGATCAGGCACATTTAAAGCTTCAACTCAGACACCACATCCATTCACATTCCAAAACACAGGACATGGGCTCTGCCCATTCAGAGAAACAGAAAGCCACATGTCTAAGGGCTGGATGCACAATAATCCCACAGGGGAGACAGTGGATAGTTGGGAATAGGAATACAACTTACCAGAGTTGGCTACCCATGACACTCTGTCTGTTTACCTTCAAGACCACAGCTGTGGGCCATGCCTGTGGACTTCCAAGCTAAGGAGATTACCACGGTACCTCGACCAGGAAGGATAACTCTTGACCTCTGGAGTCTTTACTGGTGAGATTCGGGCAGGTTTATTTCCATCTAATGTGTTTTGGTCCTTCACAATATCCTGAAAATTCAAATTTGTTTATATATATACACACACACACACACACACAAATATAGACAATATATAAAAGGTGGTCTCATTTAGTGTTCACCACAGTGCTAAAGGACAGCTCACACTGTCCTCACTATGAATCACCATGCATCAGGGGCCTTTCAGATGCACTCAGGTTGTTCAGGTCTCTGATGTTGAAGATTGTTTTACATGCCATTTTTGAGCATTTTGGCTTAACGTTGCAACTGTACCTCAGCAACACAGATACATGTGCAACAGGTATGTTCATTTTCACATCTAAGACCCAGGCTTTGTGAAGTTAGGATATGAGATGGCTTTGGGTTCTTACCAACCCAGTGGAAGAGGAAGTCAGAGAGAGTTCTTAGGGTTTCAGTATAGGCTGAATCATGAGAATATTTTGGCTTCATGTAATTATATTATTGGTAACTGGCTGCTTATGTAGAAATTTGTCAGAAAAGTTCAGCACTAGTAAACTCAAAAGCTTCAGGGGCTGGCTAAGTGGATCACATAAAACCTTTCCTGCTGGACAGAGAACCAAAAGTGAAATCATTGTGACTAATTTGAAAACATATTCAATTAGAGAGGAAAATGAAAGCTGGGTATGAAGGCACATGCTCGTTATCATAGCTATTCAGGAGGGTAATGCAAGAGGATTGTGAGTTTGAGGCCAGTACTGGCAACTTAAAATAAAATAAAATTAAATTAAAAGGGATGGGGATGTGGCTTATTAGGAAGAGTGCTTGCCTAACATGCCCAAGACCTTGGGTTCAATCCCAGTACTGCAGACAAACAAAAAATGAAAACAAGAACTGTTCTGTCAAATAAGACACACAGGCAAGTTTCAGTGCAGAGCTATCTACATCTCTGACCTGTGTCCTCAAATATTTATTTGAGAATATTTCAGTGTGTGCCCTTCAGTATAGAAAAAGAGCATCGATTCTCAGAGGTCACTGTGCCAGGGTGCTGTAAAGTACTTCTAGTTTTACTTAAATGTACATTCTTCTTAGTATATCATTTAAGGCTCTTGGGCTCTCTGGGTTTTACAATCATTATATAAATTTGATGCCTAAGATATATAATTACATCAAAGTCAAATGTGGTGTTTCCTTTTTTGGGAGAAAGAAAATCCAAATTTCTTTCAACTCAGTGGAGGGCACTGACCTAATTCTAACCTTAGCCCAAAGGTCCAAGTTCATGTATGCAAGAAGAGTTCTGTACACATTTTCCCTATGGCCACATCTTTTACTCAAGCTCCATATCTGACTCACCAGATGCTGCCAGCTGGTATCCTATTGTAACACAGTAAACGCAGTATAACATAGTGGACAGCAAAGGTAACCTCTTCACAAACCTGTGCTTGTTTGGGTTGGGGTTGAAGATGCTAAGATCTACCAAAACATGATTTGGTCACTTATTGTTATTGTGTTGCTGTTGTCCGAGGACATTTCTCTCTCTATGTGGAGAAATGAAACAATTAATATAAGCATCATTATTGTATGACCAGAGCAATGAATGAAAAAGGGATTGAGCTAGATTTCATTCGGACAGTTAATACTGACTCACTAGAAAACATTGAACAGGTTTCCTAAACTTTCTGTGTCTTCGTTTGCCTACGTTTTAAATGTCCTCTCTTGATCTCAGGTTATATCAATCAGGTCCTAATTTTTCAATTCCTCCACAGACCCCCTCACTGGGACATCTAACAGTATGTTTTGAGTGCTTCCTCAGGCCAGAAACTGTTCCAGGAACAATCAAATACATCCTGAAGGTGACTTTATGGTCTTCCCTCCCTCACACCAGCTTCTCTCTCTTAGAAATCCTCAGTGGTGGCATAAACATCCATATCCCAGGGCAGAAGCCTGTGGGAGCCCACCTCGGCCTCTCTCTCTCTCCCTCAGCCCTCTGGTCAATGATGACCAAACCCTTTCAAGTGCATTGTCACTATCTTTTTTTCTCTCAGCACTAGAGAGTAACATCATGCTTTTATCAATAAAAAAAACTGAATGATACTTCTGGAAAATTAATGGCTGATATCCATAGCATACTGTTCATATCTGGGAGGTAGATTATATTGTCAACTATACTGGCACTTGTTTTGAATGGCTGAATTTTT